ATTGTGTGTGTTTGAGAGAGATAATGCTGGTAAACGATTATCAAAAAAGGTTTTGTTGTTTATTTCGACAAACGGAACAATTTCCGGTACAAATGCCTAATAAACACGTGAAAGTAAATTGCACAGAACTGTTGCAGCTATTTTCAAAGTGTATGTGATTTAAAAATGGTTTTCATTTTTTTAACTTAAGAGCTTAGCAATATTAAAAAAATCTAAAAAATATTCTCATCTCGTTTTGTGTTTTACGAAGAACTTTAGATTTTCAAGCATGTTCCAGGTATTCTCTAAGTACGAGCAAAGACGATTTGCTAGTGCTATTATAAAGAAAAACTTTGCATTTGAATTTGGCGGCTAAGAATAAATCAAGAAAAAACCGTTTTTCCTGAATAATACAATTAGGGTGAGAAAATCTTCAAAAATATATATGTTTATGTCTAGAAATTAGAGTGTAACTACTCAATTGCCATTTTGGTGCCAGGGGAAACTTTTTGCCATCTTAATTGCGTGGGGGGGGCCCTTACCCCCCCCCCATTGAAAGATCCCGAAATCCCCGCTCTGGTGCTCAGACTGTGCTGCTTGACCGTTCGCCACACCCCGCAACCCTGTGTGTGCGCGTCTGCATGCCACGGTCAGAGAATTAAGAGCTTCAGTGTGAGTTCTTGATTCCAATTGAGAACATTGTTTGTTTTGCATTATTGTGGACAGCTTATATGACAATTAAGTAAAACGAGCCAGCTTCAAGAATTTAAGGAAGATTTAATTTCTTTGGTAGTCTGACAGCGAATGAGAAATTAACGTTAGTCGTCGCAATTTAGTTACAGATCAATAGACTGAGGGAATGGCATACAAGGGAAGTGTTTAATGTAAGAAATGGCTTTTACCGGCACGCAAATCTCATAGGTACCCTCAACCCTCACAATAGTATTGCACAATTTGTAAGGAACTATGTTTCTCTCTTAAGTTATAGTGACGTAGCAAAAATTAGACCATTAGACTCACATTCTTTCTGAGTGATCCCACGGTGACACCGAGCCAAATAACACTCTCTTCCAATAATAACAACAGGAGTGTGAAATAATCACGTTAAAGTCTGCTTTGGGGGCCTACCTAAAAAAAATCGATTCACGGCCCACGTATACTATTGATTCGTCGAGATTTTTTTCGGAAGGAAATTTGTGGCTTCAAAGTTAGTATTTTAAAATAGAATTCAGATATCTTCTATTCTATCTAAGTCTATTATCTGTCTATCTAATCTATCTATCGTATCTATCTAATCTATCTATCTATCTATCTTCTATCTTTGTTTTAACGGGGAATCTTGCGGACAATCTGTAAAACACGAAGAGGAGCCCGCACTCCTCAACAGTGTGAGATTTTTACCACATAAAAACCACAAAACCCTTTTGTGTTCCTGGCGTTATCCACTCTGGGAACCGCAGAGTATGGCATTACGTCAGGATAGGTGCCCAGCTGTATTACCTCGAGGTGTTATTCAGTACAGCTATGGACTGGTTTCTTTCGTTCTCTTCCTTCTTCTTGTGACATGAATGATATGTTTACCATCTATGGCACCAACGCAATTGAGCATGTCCCACAAATCTCTGAATTCATGTACCATTCTTTCATAGTCCACTTTTGTAGCAACTTTAACATACTGTTCATGGAGAGCTTCCCAAATAGCACGGGTTGTTTAATTAATTAAGACACAGCATGTACTATTCCCAATCCTATAGTTCCAAGCCAAAGAAGGTATGGAATCACCTGTGGCCATAAACGTCAGCGTATCAGCCAGTCGCAAGCACCTTGTCAGCGACGTCCGGATACTGTTTTTTAAGAAAGGAGCCACTAAATTTAATAAAACATCAAACTGTTCCGGTGACATTCTTGAGTATAAAAAAATTGATGCATGCATTTCACGCAGGAGGTTATTAAAATGCCCCTGCTGGAGTCTCCTCGGGTTAAGGGGTGAATCCACCATCGCCTCTTCTGCCGCTTCTTTCTCTGGTGATCTGCGCCAAGCAGCACTGCAACGCTGTCCCGCGATATCAGTATTTACGTATGGTAGGGTCGTAATTAGACTTCGTCAATTTCGCAGGTTATGTAGCCGTATATACAAAGAATTGTCCAAAAGGGAAAGCTAAAATTCGCCGTATATCTGATTGAGAAGTCCAAAACGTATGCTAAGTAGTCGTAAATGAAGAGAGTTCAAAAATCAAGCAAGGTCGGTAAAATAAGAATATAGTATAATACAACAAGACATGGAGAGAGTAAAAATACACGCGAGTCTCTAGCATTAGTTTAAATCGAACGCATGGGTCATGGACACAGTCGATTCTCGCATCCAACCAATAGTAAACTAGAATGTCTCACAGCCAATAGAAACTTATTTTGCTTACGTTTATGATAGGCATTGTGAATACTTCAGTCTTACACTTATGTTAATGTTTATGTCTATGCGTTATGCTTATGTTTACGTTTGCATTGTGAATGGGCCTTTTCAGTTTTGTTTCTTAAGCATACTTTACCTAATCGCCTAAAGAGACATTTTGTTTCTTCCTCATGCCGCTGATCACCCCTCCCCACCCACTCTGCAGCGAAAAGCTTCCGGCGTGTGAGTCGCGTACCTGCCTGTCTAAGCTTTTGAATGGGAAATCACAGAAACAGGAAAGTTGCTGCAGCTTATGACTTGATGGTCGCCTCCTCTGCTGTCTCGACGTGCGAGGCAGCGCTGTCTTGAAAGGTGACAAACACACGCGGTTGCCAAATTGCCAAAACAAGAACAAGTGGTCTCAGACATGGGTTGCGAGTGAAGCTAAAGATCCTGTATATTTCAATGTATTTACTTTCCTGTTCATAAAAGTGTTTTATTCTTTTTATTTTTATTTGGAAATATTTTCATATCTGAACTAGCGACGTCCGCCATTTTGTACGAGGTAATTTTACCTGGACACCTCCCCCTTTGAGATTGGCTGCGGCTGTATGTGAGGCTCCGCCTCAGATCGTTACGTCATGACAAGGGCTGCCCAAGCCGTGGAAAGGCTGAACTTATCTGCAGATGTCGCCATTAATTTTTATTGACAGAACTGTATCTATGTGTTGTTTATATGTACATATTGTATAACAGTTATTAATAAAACGAGTTTTATTATGACGATATCGAACCCCCTTTCGCCATAATACGAGCATCATTCAAACTTTTCGCTACGATGCTTACAATAAATATTGAAGACGGGCTGTGAGGAAGGCTCCTATTTAGTTCTATGATAATGTTTAATGAACGTCGTACTTATGATAGTATATTATATTTCAAACGTATGTATCAAACTTCGACTTTTCGTTTTGTCTTGGAAAACAAGAGTTATGATAGATTTAAACTGGAAACAGTGCTATAAAATATCTACCTATTGGAACACTAATTCTATAATGAAGCTTTTTTCTATACTAGCCCATTCAAATAAACATTTATTTCAATGGGGTACGCGAACATCATCGCATTATCTAGGATAAAATTGAATCTAAAATTGAATCTGGGATGAAAAACCTATTAGACATAAACGTACAAGTGTTATCTGAATGCTGAAGTCTGCGCTTGGTGGTGGCCGCTCCGCAGAAGACTTTTTCGCTCGTACTCCGCGGCGCCCTTGGTCGGCAGCGTGCGTGTGCGTGTGCGTGTGCGGGCGGCGGAGGCCGGGTGGGTGGGGTGGGGCAGGCGTAGCGCCGTTTGGCGGCACCGCTCCAAGGACGACAGCGCCCGAGGTTGGCGACGAGGAGGGAGGAGGAAGAGAGCAGGTGAAACGCACGGAGCTGTCGCCGATTCCTCGGCCCTCCGGCGCCCCACCCAAGTTCCTCCCCCCCGCCGCGGCGCTGGTTGGGATTTCATCGTCCTGCTTGACGCCTCTGCGCTTTTTCGTCGATATAGTTTAACTTGGTTTAGATTTTTCCTTCTCCAGTTTCTCCATTTCTTTCTGTCCTCGTTTTCTTGCCACTTTGGCTCCAATTTTTAACTGCGTTTCCTCATTCTATTTTCACTGAAATCATCTTGTTGACCCTCATGTGTGATTTAGAATTTTCTTAGATCCTTAGAATTTCTTACCTTCTCTTTCAAATTTTTGTAATCCACCTTGGTCTCATGTGTGTATTTTCTTAAATTTTCAAGTTATTTGATATATTTATTTTCGATTTATTCTGTTTTTTTTTTCTTCTCGTTCTTCAGATACCACCTTACCTGTGCCGTACTATTTAGGCTTGCTGGCCTTGGATCATATCGCCAAACTCTCCACAGCTCTGCTCCTCGTCTTCCTCGGCCGCCCCCTCCTGGCGCGGCGGCGCGAGGTATAAAGAGGCGGGTGACGGCGGCGTCCGCGAGCCTCTCCACTCACTCACGGAGCAGGACACTCGCTCTCGCTGGCGATGACTCGAGCGGCGACCGCGTTGGCGCTGGCGCTGGCGCTGGCGGCGGTGGCTTTGAGGCTGGCGGCCGCCCAGGACGCCGTCGCAGGTAACGCGCGCGAGGGGACACAGGCGCTTGGGTGTTGCGCAAGGCGATCTGGCGGTTCCTCCTGGTAGACGTGAGCACCCTCATCCAGGCACTTTGCGGTTTTTGGAATGATAGACAGGCGAACATCCTTTTAAGTTTTTGATTCCAAATCCGATTTATAGGCGTCTCACAAACTACTTTTGCACCGTACTTACTTCATTCTATATCTCACCTTTTGTGTATTGTATTACTTTTATAAAATTCAACTTTACATCCGTTTGTATTAACAAGCTTCTGGGTGATTAGATGATGCTATGAGATAATATCTATTGATTAAGAGGCTTTGCCTTGGATGTAGATAATCTTTGATATCTGACGTTCACAATTAAAATACTCTAACTCACACTGGGCTGTAACACGCAAGAAGAGACTATTGTACCACCTTGTAGAAACAATACATTTTAACAGACATTATACGTAAATTATAAGTTACTAGAAACAAGATCATTATGTACTTAAGTGCTGTATAAGCAAGGCGAAACGAACACATATCACTCCTCACTGCTTTTTCACAGTAATACATGTTTATTCACAAGTAGAGAATAATAAAAAGAAAATGGTCTAACATTTACAAGATCTTCCGTTGTTTACAATACACTTCTACGCATGACGTTTCCTTTCGATACTCCCAGACTCGTTCTGAGAATGAATAATGACACAGGTCTGCTAGTTGTCTCTTTGGACCTTCGCCAGACCCGAACTGCCGGCATAAGCCTAACGACTTATGATTTAATCATTTTATGGGTTATGATTTATACGTGAACACTTCTGACGCGTGTTCATCTCTCCCATTAAGGTAACAACGTTTAACTATTGGACTGGCATTTTTCCCCTGGAGAAGCATCTTCTTTTGACCCTCTTTTGACCGTTAAGAAACAAGAAATAATTTTTCTGATCTTTACGCAAGAATCACACTTAGCAAGATTAGTCCAGGGAATATAGCCATGTTTCAAATGTCATAATTTTGGCAATCGCAGAATATTTTGTCATTAAAAACTATGATGCAATTTATACATACACCATAAGTGTATGCAAAAGTAATAATCAGTCAAAAAGTTGTACAGTGCTCAAATTTCCAGTTCAAAGACATGTCTAAAGCTAATACTTTATTGAAAAGACTACTTACGGACAAATTCTTTTTTTATCTTGATATAAAATAATAACGAGAAAACTCAAATCATACTGTATCTGTTCAACAGTTCATATGCCTCAAATCACAGAGAAAGCAAGTATTTCACACTCACTCTGATATTCTACATCTCTTCACATTTGTTTTAATTCCGTATAATACATGTTTCTAATTACGTATGAGCACCGAAATTTAGAGAAAACTAAGCAGTCTATGGTCATTTCAGAGTTGTGAAAGGTTTTGTTACGTATCCATGAACTCGGGGAATATCCAGAAACAATGAAAGGGAATCGATGTGCACTAAAAAATAAATTGATATTGCAATTTTATTGATATTCCGTCTGTTCTCATACTGAGAATACAGACTGAATTCCCTTACACATTGCACTACTTACGACATATCGCACGTCATGCAACAGCAAAGGTTCTGAAGAAGTGCCTATTCCTAACAAATTCTTGTTATTCACACGTTGCGTTTTGGAAAGGAAACTTTCTTTGACTTTTTCTTTTGTTGATTGCGATGTTCTACATGAGCATTTTATTTTGTGCGTGTTCGTGCTTCTTTTTGGGTTCAGCTGCAGTTTTGCATTTACAATCGTAACACTGCTTTCACACCTATTCTGATACGCGCAGAAATTGAAAGACAACAATGCAGCAGCCTCCGACCATGTAAGAGGTGTCTATGATTTTTTTAGGAACTAGGCCTAACAAACGGGCCACAGCGCGCGCGATGTTTCCTTCCCATTCCTTGTCCTAACCTACCCCTTCAAACGCTTACATGCACTACACTACCAGATATGCCGGGAGACAGGTCGGAAGTTTAGAGCTAGTCCCGGCTGGGGCGGTGCCCCGCCGGTGGGAGATATCTGATTAGGGTAATCTCCGCTAGTCGACTGTACGTCAGCGCCCTCAGGGGCCAGCTTCAACGAAGCTCTACCCCTCCCCCGACTGGTATTTCAACCACTTTCTATCGCCGTAGTCTTATCTAGGGACTCTTCTCCTTCACCAGTTCTCTTCTTCACCTCTCTCTCTCGCTAGTTCACCAGGTCGGGATCCTTCCTATTGATAATCCACTGAGGTAGCCGCAGCCCTTCTCAGCGAGCATCCTCGTCTAGCGTCCTCGGTTAGTATCTAGACGCCACCGCGAATGCTTTGCGGAATGATGGTTAATGATAGGATAAGGTATAGAATAAATGATGGAGCATACCGGTGGAATGAATATTGGCAGGGGAAACGGTTGTATCCTGAGAAAATCTTCCGCGAACCCGCTTTGTCCACCACAAACCCCACTTGGAACCGCCTGAGATGGAACTCGGGCCCCAGTAGGGAAAGATAGCAGGGTGACCTCTACGCTACGGGCCGCCCCGAAAACTATTTTTTGTAATTTTGTTAGGCAGCATTTTTGCCAATAGTTGTCAATATTTTTTTCAAAATTGACATAAAATTGGGTGTGGTTTGATCGGATTATCCGAAGAAATGTACCGTACACTTACAAGTACATCTATGAGATTACCAATGTAACGTAGCGTGCGATGTAAAGAATTTGAAATGTAAGAAAGCGATAGCATCATCAAGCAGATTCAGTTAAGAAACGGCAAAAGAAGATTACCGATTTTGCTGAGTGAAAATTACTGCTCATAAACATGCGGCATACACCATAGTTACCAGTGTAATAAACGTTTCATTTCGTCAACTTGTGTTTCAATAATTAGTTGTTCAGTTGTACACTTTACTGTCATAAATGTATGCATTACTTTTAATGTATAAGTACATTAAAGTAATTATCATGTACGCATAATAAATTTAATGTACATGTACAGTAACTACGTGTACATTAAATTTCATAATTACTTTAATCTTCTTTTGCATTAAAAGTAATACAAAAAGTTCTTACTATGCTTTTTGCTTCTCCTTCAAGTGCAAATTCTTCTACTCCTAACACGGAATGGCTTTTGTTGCTAGTATCAATATAACTCTTAGTCCTTGGTGCATAAATATCATTACTAGCAGTAGTAGCTTAGTAGAAGTTGCAGCAACTTGCTGAATGACACTGCACAAGGCAGATTATAAATCCCGAAGACATCGGAATATCATTAACTTCTATACCAAATATAATTTAATTAATTATACTAAGAATTTATGTACATTATGTATTTATTGATTAGGGAAGAAGGAATAAATATTTTTTATTTATAAACAAACATTAATTTCATTAAAAAATACACAACTACCAGCACTTGAAAAATTAAAAATTTACAACTTATTACAATGTACACTTCGTTGTATTTTGTCAATGTTTCCGGCCAATTTAAAAACTGCAGAATAAAATGTTTACACCGTTTTGAGGCATTTTGTCTCCTTTTGTTGGCTTTATTTTCATACTTTACCTGAAAGTAATAATGTTATTGTTAATAAATAATATTTATTCCGTATTACCTTTTAAATTACGGTTACACAAATAACAATAAAAACAATTGAGAGAGGCTATGTATTTGCTTGTACATAGGAACTGAGTACCAAAAACGAGAAAGATATATACACAATAAAAGAACAAAATGCGAAAGAAAATTGATTTAATGTAAAATAAACTTACTAGCAATATTATTACTAGATAGTAATATTATAATTATATAGTGTTATCAACCTTTCTTCTTTGATCATTCTAGAAATTACTAAATCAGAAAAAAAGTTTTGATTCGTAAGGATAAAATCCATTCTGTATTTAACAATATTCATTTTGCAATGTTTTCTTAATGCAATTTTACTATCACTTAAAACCACAACAAATTGCCAATTTATTAAAAATTGTCTAGGTTGTAACGTAACTATTGTTGCTCAAATGTTCTATATAGTTATATATAGTTCTATATAGTCTAAATGTTCTTCGATAGTAATCATTTGTTTAACGAAACGTTACTTTTAGTTTAGTTTGTAATAGTAATACAACTTCAACTTACCTTCATATGAATTCGAGGGTTGGTCCTAATTTTGCAGAATATGCATATCCAAAATTGTAATAGCTGGTAAATAATATTATCACACTTTTAATAACGTCTTTACAAATTACTGGAACCTTTTTTTCAGAATCACAGTCATTTACTTAGGGCTTACTATGTAACACTCATTTCCTGAACTTCAGTTCTTTGACTTATTTGGTCCATTGTTATATTAGGGATAGCTCTTGGTTAGTGTGCTCCCTTTCCATGCTCGCTTTCCACTACGCGGCCCCGGGTTCAATTCCCGGTCGAGCCAAGAATATAGTGTGCGTTTTCCTTTCACTGTCCCAATATATGTTGCTGTGTGACGAGAAAAATCACTTCTCAGGTTGAGAAGATAGGAATATGGCCTTTCTTTACACCATAAATAAGCATTTTATTAATTTTGTTTATTTTTCCTCCATCGCGAATATTTTTCGGATTATCCAAAATTTCAGATTTGCGAGTTTCCGATTAGCGAGGTTGTACAGTGGTTAATGTCGCAAATAGCATGTGCCTTCCGTCAAACGGCATCATAAAATATGTGCAAAATTGAAATAGGTATTTCTTGTAAGCTATACAGATATATTACCAATAATTCTTTCCGGAAGAGGGAAATGAATTATTAATCATTCTTTCCGGAAGAGGGAAATTAATTATTAAGTAAAATATTCTCAGAAAAGAGCAGTGAAGTTGCAAATCCCACAGAACTCGTTTACGACCTGTAAAACAACTTCACTGCGATTGTGTATTTCGGAGAAATATTTTGGCAGTAATTTTTTTGCATGCAAAAATTATGTTGTTTATTCAACAGATTTATTCTGGTCAACAAAGGCATTATTAGAATTTAAAGGGCT